ACATAGACCATCTCATTTTGCCATAATGATCCTACGTAGCCAGCAGAGCTGGTGTGGATATCCCATCACAGAGCACCAAGCACTATGTCAGCTCCTAAGGATCTGATCCGAAGCTAAACAGGCATTTGCCCACCCTCACAGAGCTTACTATCCAGTATGCAGGGAGTGGAGTGAGAGATAGATTAAGTTTTAAAAATATATCAAAACTATATGTGGGGGACAAAACACAGCAGACATCTGGTACAGATGGCTGCACGGGTAACAGCTGCCAGGAGCCAAAGAGGACCTTGGCCTGAGCAGGGTGCCTGGTGGTGGAAGTGGTGGTTCTTGGGGTGGTCAGAGTCAACCTGCTGCGAAGGGGCGGGGTCGTGGAGGGGGGCCAGACTAGCAGTGGGCGTGGCTGTTGATGAGGTGGGCGGAGTCAGCCTGGAGGGTGGGGCCCCGGAGCATTGGGGCGGCGCAGCCTGTGGCCTGGAGCGGTGGTTGGTGATCTTTGGAGTGGCGGTTGGGCCATTGGGCGGTTGGGCCATTGGGCGATTGGGCCGTTGGGCAGTTGGACCGGGTGGCCTGGAACCTGGGGGAGGGGGTCAGTCATTTAAAAGCTGTGCCCAGCACTGTTGGAAGCATCCAATCTAACCCCAGACTGAAGTGAGCGTCTGCTGGGACAGTATGGCTGGACCCACTTGGCAGGTGCGAGGCCAGGTCACTGCTGATGGGAGAGAAGGAGTAAAGGTCTCGGGTCTTGTGGGGTGTCACCTAGAGATGCGCCAGGAGGGCTGGGGAGCCCCAGTGTTTCCAGTGAAGCCAGTTGGCATCCTGGCCACCCTCTCCGAGTGGAAGGCAGAGGGATATAATTGTATTCAGGCAGGGTGGATAGGGCGGAGGCCGTCAAGGTGGATGGTGCTGTGCTGTCAAGGAGCTCAGGTGGCCTGGTATAGCCCCCGGGAGGCTGGGCGGGGACTCTGCTCCGGTGGAGTCTGGCCTTGACTTCTGAGTCTCGGCAATGCAGGCGGGAGGTCACGGGCAGTGGGAGGAAGCCCAGGTCCCAGGTTTGTGATCTTCAGGTGAGGGCAGCTCTGAGAAGGGTGAGGGCCTGGCTGTGGCCCCAGGAAGGACACCCCAGCTCTTCCATGTGGGGTTGGGGACCGGTGGACTCTTCTTGGATTTGAGAATGTCAGGCACCTCTTTGATTTTCTCGCTTCAGAGAGTATGCCTGGACCCAACAGATGAAAATTCCTGGAAGGCTGATTTAGGCTTCTTTAATAATTTTTAAATTATTATTTTACATTTTTATGGGTGCTTAGGTGTAAGCAGACAGCTCCAATACAATCTTCTGCTAATCTTTCAGCAATTATAAATGGTTTTTAGTTTTAGCAATCTGAAAAGCAAGTCTATATGAAGCTCCCAAAACTTTGTTTACATGTGAAATACTGAACATTTGTTTCTATCTGCCTTTCAAATCAAGAATTCTTTGTGTTGAATTTGTTTGGTAAGTAAATATCACTTAAGTACCAGTTTCATTTATGGTTTTATTAGTGCTTTTCCCTAAATAACACTATGATTTTAGCACTTTGTCATCTACAGTAAATTTACTTGCCTAATGCAGCTACCAAATATACATGTGTATATGTATATTTATATTAAAAGTCATTAAAATTCAGAATGACTATAAAAACAAATTAGAAATTGTAAATTCATAGATTATATAGCATTGGATTACAGTTGACAAACCTTAAAGCATCACACATTGTAAAGAGGTCCTTCTGGGCATGACAAGTACACAGCTCTTGCCACATGGTCCTGCCACCTTGCAGTGCTGGTGCAACCACACCCAAGCTGTCTATCCCCTGATAGTGAGGCAGAGTCACTGATACACTGGGGACTTCAGGGACATGTCAGAGTTGCATACTTTCCCAAAGCTTTCTCCCATTTGTTCTGCTTGTCTTGACAGTAACAGTTTGCCAACTGGTACCAGACCACAGACTACACTTCGAATAGCATTGTCATAGATTCAAGATTGTCATCTGTCCAGAATGTAAACCTATGCCATGTGCCAAATGCTTGTCCAGCAGTAGATGAAGGAATATGCCCATTCTTGCTCTGGTCTGGCTTATCCCAGCTGATTGCTTGAGTCTTCTTTAAAAGCTCTGCCTCATCACACAGGTGTGGAAGCTGAGATTCAGAGGGCAGGAGTGACCTACTGGGGCGGGGGGATGCAGCTGGATTCAGAGGAAGAGTGAGATCCAGGTATTCTGAACCCGAGCCAGGAGCCCAAATGCACAGCCAGCCAGCCCAGCCCACGCCTCTCTGAGGTTGACTTGGGGCTGTCCTTGTGGGTTTCAAAGAGGGCTACAAAGTCTGGTCAGATGTTAACATCACACTTGAAATTTGTACCTCCTCAGGAAATGGTGTCCCTCCGGGGATCAGCCCTGCCAAAGTGGATGCCATTGGATATAACTTGTAAACAGCAAGGTAGGTGCTTAATATTCAAAATTTTTTTCTTCCTGGGGTCAGTAGCAGAGTAGTTGGAAAACATGGAACACCCCTAGCACCACCTCCAATTATCTGCTGTATGGAGTGGAAAAATGTGTAACATTAAGGGGCTAATAACGAAACACCTTTTAATTACTTTGATAGTACCAGTGAGGCATTCTTTCCCTGCTTTCGTCTTGGCAGCTCAGCACCTGAATGGGTGAGGGTGGAAGGAGTCTTCCAAGTTACTCCCCTGGGTAGAACAGGCTGTCCAGGGTTAATGTCGATGAACTCTTTCAATAATTCTATTGATGTCAGCAAAGGCAGAAAGTGGGACATACAGAAGCTAGATGTATATGAACTCGCCATGGGACTCCAGGCTTTTGGGTGGGAAGAATTACATTTCCTTTTACTTGTTTAATACAGTGACTGGCAAGATGGTCATTATATCTATGCGGTCTCTTGACACCAGAGAATTTTTTTTCTAAAACAGATTGTATTTCCCCTTTGAGTGTGACAGACTGATCTGTAAGACCCGCCTTTCACTGATAGCATCTGGGATTTTTATTATTACAGTTGGTAACAAGACCTCTTGAGAAAAATCCTTTGCAAATGAAAATCCAGTTCTTTCACCTTTGTACTTTCAGGAAATGGGAGAATGACTTGCTTTGAGATTTGGCAGCCTAATCGTGGGGTCTCTGCACTCAGACAGAGCAAGTCTCTTTTCTTTTTTTCTTTTTTAAAGTTTATAAATTTTTCTTCAGAAAATATATACAAAATAATAACAGAAAGGAAATCAATTTATATGGCTGTTCCCTTTCTGGAAACAGTAAGAACATGAACAGAACATGATAGCACCAGACATAAAACATTCATGAAAGAGATAATATATCTAGTTCAGTGATTCTCAACCAAGGGATGTTTTCCACCACCCCAGGGGATATTTGTTTGGAAACATTTTTGATTGTGACAATGGGTGTGTGTGTGTGTGTGTGTGTGTGTGTGTACTGGCTTCTAGTGGGTGGAGGCCACATGTACTGTTAAATATCCCACCATGCACAGAACAGTCCCAACCACAAAGAATTGTCCAAAAAATCATGTCAAGTTGAGAAACGATGATTTAGTTGCATCTTTAAGTTCTAAGCTAAAATGGTTGTGGGTTTATGTATATAACCAGTCCCTGGTGTTTTACCCACTGGGGTTTAGCTGTTCTATATATAAATATTTACTAAAATCAATAAAATTTTCTGGTATCTGATTAAAGTATACTTATAAGCTGTAAAATTTAAAAAAAAATTAAAAGAACTCCCAAGTTGAATGTGCGATTTCGCCCACCTTTAATAGTGTTTAGAGGAGCCAGTATTAAGTCCTGCAATCTTCAGAGCAACTCTTTGCTAAAGGAAGACTGCTTAGGGTAGCAAAAATATTTTTTAAGGCATCAGTTCACCTGTGAAGTGAGTACAGTCTGAACATACACAAAACACTTTTGTTAAGTCTTTCAGGGTAGTGGCCTAGCTTTCATGCTGGACTTGGTGTTAGTCTCACATATTACATCCTCATTTCAGCCCCTCAAACACAGCAGAAACTCCCGCCAACTTCATGTCTCCTGAAGAGCTTTTCCAGTAATGCCAAAGTCTGAAGATCTGTCTCTTCCACAAATTTTACTTTATCCACAAACCAACGTGGAGGTCCTTCCTGGAAGCTTGTTTTCAGTACGCCGAGGTCACATTCAGTTGTTGAATGGGACCTCCAATTCTGCTCTGCATGTGGATTTTACTGACTTCATGTAATTGTCCTTGATAGAAATCAATGATAGTTTATTCAGAACTAGGGTGAGCTCGGTGTAGCTGACACAGGCTGAAGTAATTCCTATAGTTAAGAGAGTTTGGGGATTTCCCCAGTCTGGGCCTGGAGAGTTAGTTTGCTGAACTGAGGGTTTTCTGAAAGCCTCTGCCCATCTGGCGTGTCTTTCCTCGTAAGACAATATTTCTGCATGTGATGCATATACCTCTATGTCGGATCCTTAGGTGAGAGAGGAATGGCATATGATGGAGGGTTCTGAGCGCATCAGTTGGCTCTTTTCTCTGGTATGTCTGCCTCTGTTGATTGTTTTTTACCATTTTTATCTTGAGGAGTTGTTAATCAGTAGAATGTTTTTTCCTACCAGAGGAGGCAGCAACCACGTGTTCTCTATGGAGGTATGCAAGAGCTGTACAGCTGCATCGCTGCCTGGGACAAATCCCCTGGGTTCACCATCTTGCACCAAGAAGATTAAAGGCATGGACACATGTGAGTGGGTTAAGGAGCGTAAAGTTTAATAGGCAGAAGAAAGGAGAGAGGAGAGCAGCTTTCTCTTTTGAGAGAGAGTCATCCAAAAGGGAAAAAGACGTCCTGAGGTGGACTGCAGCAGATTTTACAGGCAGGCTTGACGAGGTGGTGTCTGATTTACCCAGGGACAACAGATTGATTTGATCTGGTGTGACATTTATACGGTGTGCTGGGAAGGCTGGTCAATCCACCCTAATCTTATTATGCCAATGGGTTTTCTGCTTGGCCAGCACCATCTTGTCTGCTCCTTACTGTACATGTGGCTGGCAAAGAGAAGATGCAGCCATCGTTTTGAACATGTCTATTCCCATGTAACTTTTTTCTATTGGCACAACTGCTAGCATTCCCCTCTGCAAGCTTCCAGCTCGCTTGTCTATGTCTGCTGCTCGATTTTACAGGCTGCTCTTTGTTAGAAAATGATTTGGGGCTGTTTTTCATTAAAAGGAAGACCTTACCAAGGACTTCCTTATTCTCACTATCTGCCTAAATAATTTCTTTTTAACTCCTATATCACAGCTTGGAAGGCACAATACACACAGGTCTTCATGGTCCACCAGAGCTCTACAGCTACGGGCCAGCCAGGAGGTGGCCAGCTGCTGGGCGCTCTTCTGAAGCAGGTGAGCAATGGAGTCCCCTGTTTGTTTGCAAAGAAACAGAATGCAGACATCACTGCAGTCATGGTCTCAGCAATGTCATCCCTGATCAAGTGGAAGGCCAAGTTCTCTTTCTTGCAACTGCATAAGGAGAGGTGGAGGAGAACACAAAACAGGAAGACATTTTTTCCTTTTTTTCTCATTTTGGGCCTTTTTTAATTACAAATGCTGATTTTTGTCAGGGAATCTTTTTTTTTTTTTTTTTTTAAAGATGGGGTTTCATCTTGTTGGCCAGGCTGGTCTTGAACCCCTGACTTCAGGTGATCCACCCACCTCGGCCTCCCAAAGTGCTAGAATTACAAACGTGAGCCACGGCGCCCGGCCCAGGGAATCATTTTTAAGAAAATTCTCCTTCGTGGGCAGGAAAGTTGTGCAGGTGGTTTAACCCAGACTTATTTCCTGACCAGAGTTACCGGGCAGAGTGTGCTTTTGCTCTACTTATTGTGTTGTATTTGACCGAGTGTAGAAAGTTATCACAAGACAAAAGTATGCCGGATTGCAGGGTCATTTTATTATGCCGGCGACCACAGAGGACTCACGTCTCTCCAACCTGTGGCGACAACAGGAGGGTGTCACGATTTTTTATACCCGAAAAACCACCTTGGGAGTGGGGGTGAGGGGCGGGGATGAGGATGAAAAGGCTTCAGGCATTCCGAGGGCTAGTGGATTCTGTAAATTACCTCCTGGGCAGAGATGAGGGTGGGGGTCTCCGGACATTCCAAGGGATGGGGACTTTTGTCATTCCGTTTGTTACTTAAGTGGTTTACAGAAGTCAAGATAAACATTTGTTTACACATTATCTGGTTAAGGTGGAAATCACAGACCTTAGTTACTTATTACAAGTCGCAGGAGCCAAGATGGCATGGGTTAGGACTGCTTGCCTGTCACATTAGGGCCACAGAGAGCAGTTACTGATAAGAAAAGGTAAGCAGCTTTACATAGTTTTGAAGAACAAACTAACAGATCTATTTACAGAGGCCAAGGACAGTAGTTATTGTGAGGAGAATGGGGCAGCCATTTCAACTTATCTAAAAACAGTTTTGTATTTTATAAAATAGTTTTGCTCTGGTTCTGGCTCTAGGCCAGCACAATATCACAATTGTAATGGGGACATTATTTTCTGATGGTTGTAAGACATTTGTCAAATGATACCACCTACTTGATTAGGAGACTATCTGAAGAATCATAGCAATATTCAAAAGCTCCAGTCTCCAAATGTAATGTAAACTTTTTATTTTTTTACAGACAGGATTTCACTCTGTTGCGGAGGCTGGATCACAGCTCACTGCAACCTTGAATTTCTCCCTCAAGCAATCCTCCCTGCTCTGCCTTTCAAAGCACTAGCATTACAGAACTAAGCCACCACTCCCAGCCACTGTAATGTAAATTGTCTTCTTTAACATTTCCAATGGTTGCAGAGTAGATCAGATAAGGGTTCTTCTTGACCATTGCTTCAAGTTTCATTCTGTCTTTAAATGATTGAAGGTTGACTTCCATGGTTTCCCAAAGAATGTGGAAAGTGTGTCTTCAGATCCATATAGTGTTCATGGAACCCCCAGAGAAGGCTGACGTAAAACCCTTTATTTTCTCCCAAATGTCTCAAAAAGTTGTATTTCCTGGGTCCAAGGGATCTGCAAGCCTCTAAAGGCATTTCCATTGTCACTACCATCAGGTGTGAACTGTAATCTGGCACAGTCCCAAGAACTGTCATCATACATGCTGAAGAAACATTGTGATGGTAACTTGCTGTTACCAACTGTGAAGTCATTAGCTAGAGGAATCTTGGGCTGTCTGAAATCTGAAACACTGTGGAAAGAACAGAAAGATCCTGTCTGTTTCCCACAGTTGGGAACTTCTATTGGAAGTTGTCATTTTCCACAGGAGACATTCTGTTTTATTTTCTTGAGACAGGGTCTCACTCTTGTCGCCCAGGCTGGAGTACAGTGTTGCTACCTCAGGCCACTGCTGCCTCCATTGCCTCAGGATTGCCCAAGCAATCCTCCCACCTCAGTCACCTGAGTAGCTGGAGCCACAGGCCTGCACCACCACGCCCAGCTAATTATTTTTATTTGTAGAAACAAGGTCTCTCTATCTTACCTAGGCTGGTCTCGAACTCCTGGGCTGAAGTAATCCTCCTGCCATGGCTTCTCAAAGTACTTGGGATTACAGATATGAGCTACCATGCCCGGCCTCACAGGAGACATTCTTAATGTCCTTCTTGACAGTCCACAAATCTTTTTTTTTTTTTTTAAGACAGGGTCTTGCTCTGTTACCCGGGCTGGAGTGCAGTGGTGCCATCATAGCTCACTACAGCCTCGAACTCCTGAGCTCAAGGGGTCTTCCCACCTTAGCCTCCTGAGTAGCTGGGACTACAGGTACTTGCCACAAGGCCCAGATAATTTATTAAATTATTATTATTTTGTAGAGACAGGGTATCACTATGTTGCCCAGGCTGGTCTCAAACTCCTGGCCTCAAATAATCTTCTGCCTCAGCCTCCCTAGGTATCAGCTGTCATGCCTGGCTACAAATCTTAATGCTTTCCCTGTGGTTTCCCTTTCTGGTGTTCTTTTCTCAGGTAATCAAAGCGGGAAAAGATCATTCTCTAATGATCTTTCCCCTAGGATCCAGTGTGTAGGAATTAAAGAAAAAGGAAAGAAACACAGACAGTGGCTTGATGGTCAAGGATATTTTAGAGAAAACAAACCTTACGGGCTTCTGGCTGAGTTAGGTCAGAGGCACTCTCTCTCACCGTTTTTAAGGATTCAGGGTGGGAGTGTTTATCAGAGGCTTGAATTGCTTCTGTGTCTCTTTAGTTGTGCTTATCTGGGAGGGAGAGTTGTGTGTCTGTTCCAATACATCTTTCTGCAGTGCAGGCATATTCCCCGAGTCTGCTTTTAGCTTTCCTATCTTAGTGTACCTGAAGGGAAAGGAATGTGCTTATTAAGGCCCACTATTTTCCTGGGGCCGATTGTATAAGGGGAAGTTTGGCAGTTACCCAAGAGACTTTTCCCCCACCTCCCTCTGTGCCCCAGCTGTCTTATCTGTATTTTACTGCCTGCTCTTTCTGGCTGCTTGTAGTTAGAAAAGAAGTGATTTTCTCGAAATGCATGAGGCTAGAAGAGGAGGTATAACTTAAAGTGGCAGTGTTTGTCCAGGATGACGGTGCTCCTACTTTGTGACAGTGGGCATGGGGATTCAGGCCACTGCCAGTGAATTTCAGAGCCCACACACAGAGGCCAGAACTACATTGTGAGGGTTTCAAAAAAAAAAGCTTTATTGAAGTATAATTGATATACAATAAACTTGAATATTTAAAATGTACAATTTAATGAGTTTGTGCATTTGTATACACCCCTGCAACCATCACCATATTCGAGAGAATGAATATACCCATCACTCCTGAAAGTTTCCTCATGCCCTTTGCAGCCCCTCCCTCCCACCCCTCAAACACTTAATGCACTTTTTCCCAAAAGGCAAGAAGTTAGAAAGCTCCCCTACACATTTATCAAGGCTGGTATAATCTGACTCCCAAACAAGGTAAGGAAATTATAAGACAATTAGAGAATACTTTAAACTATTGTATTCAGATGGGAAAGTCTTCAATAAAATACCTGTAACAGTTAAACTAACCAGTTATGTAAAAACATATGGTCAACTACAATTGCACCCTATAGACTCCCCGTTCTATTCTATAATGTGTTATATTTCACTAAATCTTTGTTCACCTTGCCAGTTTTTCTTCTAATTTCTCTGCAGCTTTAACTTTGGTTGATGCTATAATTTGAATATCTGACCTTCCAAACCTCATGTTGAAATGCAGCCCTCAGTGTTGGCGGTGGGGCCTGGTGGGAGGTGTTTTGGTCATGGGGGTGGATCACTCATGATTGCTGCTGTCCTCATGGCAATGAGTGGGTTCTCACAAGATCAGTTCCCTCCAGAGCCGGTCATTAAAGAGCCTGGCATCTCCCATCCCTCTTGCTTCCTGTCTCATGTAATGCCTGCACACTTCTGCCATGAGTGGAAACTCCTTGCAGCCCTGTACAACCTGCAGAACCATGAGCCACATAAACCCACTTTTGTAAATTATCTAGCCTCAGGTATTCCTTTATAGCAACACATATGGACTAAGACAGTGATATTCTCAGTTTACCCTGACATTGCATGCAGCCTGTCTGTTTCCTCATAAGTTCCCAGAGTAGAAATGTGTACTGGACAAGGATGCCAGTGAGTGGCAGTCCCCTACAGTTCTGAAGGAGCAGAACAATGAAACAAGTTGTATTCAATTACAATTTTCTCAGGCCTTTCTAAAATTTGTCAACCCCTTGAATAAGTCCATAGACGAAATACCACAGGTGGGCCAGGAGTGACTTCATTTTGTGTCAAAGACTTCTTGGACCTGGAGAATATGGTCCAACAAATAGGCCCTCTATAATAAGGCATTCATTTCTCATTTGGTCTTTCCATGCAGCTGTCTCTAACATGATTCATGGTATTTAAGAGTGATACATGATTAAATGTTGACATTCATCAACAAATATTTATCAGTTGTTACCTTTTACCTGGACTGGATATTGAGGTGAAAATGGAGAGAGTGCTTTATTAAAATTGTGAGGATCAAGAGGCATATGTGCTTTCAACTTTAAAACACTGTAAGATGAAGGGCTAACTTGTAAAATGGGTTGGAGTGAATGATTTGGGCATCTGTTAAGATGATATGTGCAACCAGGCTCTGCAGGATGTGTAGGGGCAGCCTCTGTGGTAGAATAGCCCAGTTCACAAAGTGCTGTCTGTGGGGATGAGACTGTGGGGATGGGTGGGTGGTAAAGACACAGCAGATCTAACCTCCTGACTGAAGCAGAGGGACCCTGCTGTGCAGCAGTGGGAAGGAAAAACGGGCAAAGTAGGTTGGGCTTGATCATGGAGATCCCAGGGGAATTACCCCATGACCACTTCCAGCTGGTCCCTTCTCCAAGCGACCCACTTTTCTAACGTCTGTCTCCACAGATCAGTTTTCCTGCTGTTGAATTTCATGTAAGTGGAATCATGTATTGTTAAAGAAAAATTATTCATGACACTCATTAAAGATGATAAGGCAGGCTTTATCATGCGGGCCCTCCGTAATGAGGTTGTGGAGCAGGGGAGAAAGATTTGGCTCCACTCTGAATACAACTAGGACAAGTGGGAGTTTCTAGCCAAAAAGCAGGGTGGAGCTCAGTGGATTGAAAATTCCTAAGAGGAAACATCAAGGCTAGGGAGGTTTTTATTAGAGGAGCTCAACAGTATTTTTGCTCAAGACAGGCCAGGATGGGAAGATATGAAGGGTGGGGTATGTGAAATTTGATCAGGTAACAATGGTGGGGGATTTTCGATAAACTGACCCAACAGGATTCTAACTCAACTAAACCAACCAAAGACAGTCTAAATTTTATGCTTTGAGGGCCTAGAGGAGCCTCACTGGAGTTAGGTCAAAGAGAGCCTTTGTCAGGGACTCATGTTTGACTTTTTGTAGGCAAGATGTTTTTGAAATTCATATTGTTGCATGTGCACTATGTTCATTTTTTAAATTGTTGAGTAGTACTCCATTATAGGAATTAACCAAATGTATTTAACCCTTTTCCAGGTTTTGTCTGTTATGAATAAAACTTCATAAGTTCACAAGTATTTGTATGTGTTTTAATTTCTCTTGGGTAATATCTTAGGAATTGATTTCTAGGTTAAAGTGTAGGTACATGGTCATCTTTATACTATATTGCCAGTTTTCCAAATTTGTTCTACTGTTTTAGAGCCCCAACAGCAATGGATGAGAATGCCAGTTGTTGCATGTCTTTGCCAACACTTGGTATGATGTCTATTTTTAATGTTGAGTATTCTTGTGGTTGCATAGTGCTATCACATGGTGGTTTAATATGCATTTCTCTGGTGACTGATGATGTTGAGTAACTTTTTATGCATGTTGACTATTTCTACATTTTTGTGAAGTGTTCAAGTCTTTTGCCCATTGAAAAATTATCTTTTAAAATCACTGATTTGTTAGAGTTCTTTACATATTCTGTGAATTACACACACACAAACATGACACACAAACATACACATTCTTCTCCTAGCTTGCCTTTAACAGTTTATTTGCTGAGCAGAAATATTAAATGGTATGGATGCAATTTATCAGTTATTTCCTTCTATGGCTAAGGTTGTTGTGGTCCTGTTGTAGTGACACAGTGAGAACAGTGTGGTAGAGAAGCCTGTTTCCAATGTCTAGGGAAATGGAACTAAGGACTCTAGCAAAGTCCACTGGTATGCAGTGACAAAAATGTTATGCAAATGCAGAGCAACTACAGATAATGAGGTATATGTGTTATATAACATAAAAGGTCCTAGATAAGATGTCATTGCTTGTAAGAGTATGCAAGTGATTATTAGTTGGCAAAATTCAGATGAATATTTCAAGGGTGCCTCCTTCCTCCCATGTATCCCTTTCCAACTTCTGTCTGGTCAGAGTAGGTGTAATTTACTGCTGGGAAGAAGAGAGATATGTCTAATAGGGCCTCTAGCTTCCCTGGAGCTCCTGATTCTTTTCCATCTGCTTGTGTGCTTTGCTGTCAAACAATATTTTGTAGATATCTTTGGCACTGAGATTAATGCCTTGCGTCACTTGGTACCCAGCAAGCAGGGCTCCAAGTTGATCTAGTGGAAGAGATTGCAACCCAGCTCAGGGTCAGAACCTTCCAGGATGGCCAGAAGGGGACAGCAGGCGTTTCCTAGTCAAGAACATAGGAGTAGATAAACTCCTAAATATGCCCTTGAAGCCATCAATTAACTACCAATGACAGCTTTCTTAGCTATGGAACAGAAAAAATATACCAGTATCAGGGCAGGAAATATTACCATAGGCTGACAACTTTCATTACTCTTCCAAACCTAGCATTTGGACCCACCAAGAAAGAGAACGGAGAGAGACCTGCGTGGGTTTAACTATTGTTCAGGGCCATTCTCTGCCAGAAGTCAGGAGCTATATCCAGGGAAGTAAATTAACCCTATGGGATAAAGCTATGTTTGCGTGGAGTTGGTGAACAAAAGTTGTCCGTAAAGGAATTTGGAGGAAAGAGGCTTTATTCCAGTGAACAGTTTTCAAACCTGGGAGTTGCAGACTTAAAGGAAGATACATTCCAGAGTGTAAAGGGAGGGCGCTGGTACTAAACAAGTTTGACTCTTCATTCAAGCTTGCTTAGTTCTGATTGGTCAATACAGCTGAGCTCTGGCTGATTGGTTGATAACAGCTGAGCTCTCCTTGGCTGGTTCGGGTCAGTGCAGCACGTGGCAAAGCAGAGCAGAAGTGCCGGTGGTCTGGGGACCCAGGGTGACCCTAGTCAGCTGCAAATGACCGCATGGCTCTATTCAAAATGTAGGCCCAGTTGGCCATCCGGATGCCTCTTGGAGTGGCTTCTTCGGGTTCACCTTTGTTTACAGGTGCGAGAGAGGAAGAAACTCAAAAAGAGACAGCCTGACCAGCTCAATTTGACTGAACGCTGACGAAGAGCGCTGGGCCCTTTGAGCTCCAAAAGCGTAGGTGACCCAGAAGCACACAGGACCTAGGGTAGGGGGCGAGGACGATGGGGCCGGCCCTGCGGTTCCCAGCCACACAGGGAGGCAAAGCAAAGGCAGCCCGCGGGCGGACCGAGCTGCAGGGGCCGAGCGCGGGGAAGCCCAGGCCAGCCTGGAGAGGGTTTGCGTGCACCCGACCTCCAGTGCGGCCCCGGGGTGGGTCCCCATAGCCACCCACCAGTCCCCAGGTATAAGGACTGTCTGAAGAACCTCTGTCCCGTCTGCCCGCTGGCGAGTTCCAAGTCAACTAAGGCAACAGCAAGGACGACACAACCACACACAACCACAACCACACACAACCACAACCACACACAACCACAACCACACACCACCACAACCACAACCTCCCTCTGAGCAGCTCAGCCTGCTTTAACCAACCGATTTGGAATCCAATCAAAATCCTCTGCTGCCGTCTAGCGACAAATACCGGGAAAGCAGAATATGATAAACTGTTTAAGAGGCAAAAAGTGATAGTCTAAATGTTTAAAAGTGCAAACCAGAAGAACGTGAGCATCTTGTGTTCGTGACTGTGACTTGAACTGGGTCACTCCACACTTGCTAAGGGGCTGGTATGGGATGTGACAAGAAGAAAGTCGTCAAGGGGACTCCCAAGATTTTTGACTTGAGAAACTGAAAAGATAAAGCCGCTGTTAATTGAGATTTATTTATTT